CACTGTGTATTTATGTTTCTAATTAAGACTACATATTACTTTGGTTTCTGTTTGACATTATTTTTTTTAGAGAAAGAGGACATTTTTCTTCCAAAATGGGTACTTTTAGACATACCTAAGCACAAAGTGTAAAAAATATTCAGTTCTTAAACTGTTCCTTCTTTAGTGATTTACAGGAACTGAGAATAAGTTGGGAAGTAGAGAAGGTGATAAATTGAGTACCATAGGATCCCTCTTTATCTTTTGAGAATTCATTAATTAGACCAAGTTTAATGTGACTTGGAGCTGAATCTCTAGGAGATGAATGTAAAAATATGCAGTGAAATGCTGTTTCCTCTGTCTCTCCTCTCTGGCATCTGCCCAGGCTCATGACAGATGACAGAGCTGCACCTCACCCGTGACCAGCCAGCCTGGAGCCTTATGCCTAGTGTCCCTGATTACAACGATAGATATGTCCGTGCAGCCAAGCCCCAGGAGGGGAAGCGTCAGCTCCCAGCATCCTCTTTCTCAGGGCCTGTGCCTTCTGCTCATTGTCATTTCCTTATTATTTTCATGTAGGTTCACACAGCCCTGTGACGGGGCAGAACGACTGGGTGGGGGTAGGGGGGCAGTAGGCTTCAGGAACCAGCAGTGGTGCCCCACCACCCACTGCCATCTCTGTGTGACTCAGCTGGCACTCAGAACACACTGCTTAAATCCATCTCCGTGTAACCAGACCTGTTACATCTTAGAATGAGAACTTCCCTTACAGATGTATTTACAGAGTGACTGGGTCACATCCAGGCAGAAATGGCCACCACAGGGCAGCCTAGGACAGGGATAACACTTACCTAACACCCACCCGCAAGGTCACCTAGCCCAGCCATCTCTAACAACCCCCAGATGGACTGTCCAACTCGGGAGATTCCTGCGGCGGCAAAGGTGTCATTGAGGATGGACAACACCCAGCCTTTAGGAGAACGCCGAATGTTCCACCTTGTCGTTTGGCGATGGATAATTATTGTCCGCACAACTCTGAGCGTGTGGGGAGGGAAGTCCTGCCCCCGACCTCCAGTCTCTGACCACCAGCGAGGCCAAAGAGCCTCTTATCTCTCCGCTTTGGGCTAGACCCCTTTATTTTTTAGAATTCTGTTGATTTTACTGTTAAGACTGACATATATTATCAGACTTCAGTAATGTGTTTGGTGCTTCTTAAAAAAAGTCGTAACTTCCAGACTATGTTCCCTTGTTGTTGATTAGTAAGTCAAGTACAATTACAAACATTCTTCAATAATATTTAAAAAAAAACAAACTGTCAAGCCTGTTTTGAAGGTCAGTGCATTTATGTGTGAACGTCTCCTGGGTCTCCTGCCGCCTCCCCACCCCCCGCCCCCCGCTGAGGTGTTATTTAATGCACGTCCTTATTTCCAGGGCAAAGTTTTCATTTACCGAGGAAAAGAGTATGAACGCCGGGAAGACTTTGAAGCTCGGCTTTTAACTCAGTTTCCCAACGCCGAGAAAATGAAGACGACGTCTCCGCCAGGCGACGAGATTAAAACCTCTCCCGGCCAGTGTATCCTTTAAGGCAGCCATGTCAGTGCACAATTGCAGTGCTGTTAGTTTAGAAGGGTGGGCGGACCCAGGGCCTCCCTTACACCCACGGTCCGTGCTCCCTGACGATCCTTAACACCTCACGTTAGATATTCAGTGCTTCACGGTAAAGCCCAAACTCGATTTGCCCCCGAAATTCCACAGGCCTGTGTCAGAGCAGATTGTAAGGTAAGCATCCCATTTTTCTTACCCAACATGAGGGTGGTGAGAGGCTGCACACAGATCTCTTACTAATAACTTCACGTTCTAAAGGATGGAGTTTAGTCTCTGAGCAGCTAACAGTGAAAGCTACTCTGTTTCTTTATTGCAAACAGTGAAAGAAGTCACCCATGAACAGAGGTGTGCGAGCACTGTCCGTTTCCCAAGGTCGGGAGACAAGGACAAATCAGGAGGGGACAGGGGCACCTCTTCATGCATATCCCAGGATGGGAGACTCCTAGCCAAGCTTTCCAGCAGGGCACAAGCCCGGCCCACACCTGCAGGCTGAGTCAGGATGCCCGGGGCCGCCTGAGTGTCCACATGCTACCAGACAGGACACTGGCCTGTGACATTTGTTCATGGTGGAGAACTGGGTGGGGGGTAAGAAGGACCCCTTCACCTTACAGCACACCAGTTACATAGCATGGGATTGTGGGGTGGATGTTAAAAGCCATGAGTCAACCTTCTGAATCTGAGTGAGATTTCATGCCGCGCCATTGAATTGTGCCTGACTTTGCAATGGTGTAGAAATGCTCTGCTTTAGATATTTCTTTGATGTTAACAGTTTTCTTTTCTCTTTGATCCATGTTCTAGTGGAAAAATTAACCCCTCATGATGGCCTAATAATGCCTAGGATCTGCTTATTTCATATCCCAAAGTTTGGTGGGCTGCGTTCCTCCACAAAATTCACTATTGTTCCTTTGATCTTTTATCAGCAATGATGGAAATCAACTAGGACTCTGTGTATTGATGAATGATTGCTTCCACAAGGCGTACATTTTAAGTTTTGCAACTTTTTACTCAGAGAGAGGCATTAAGCATGTAGTGACCTGCAGTGCATGCTCAGGGAGTTCCCCTTGATGTGGGCAGCCGTCTGCATTTGAGGGCAGGGGAATGGCTGCCCCTGCCACGTGTGAAACCCACCCCTTCCCCAAGGGGACAAGGGACACTCCTGCTAACATGGACCCTTCTTGGTGGTCGCAAGATCTGCTTTTTATTGATCCGAGTCTAAAGTATTACAAGAGCTTTTTAAAAATAATGAAGACATAATTATTTAAGAGAAAAATTATGCAGGCATAAATGGAGGGCGAGGCCTTTTTCCTCTCTGCTTCTCCTTCTGTGTTGGCCTGTCTTGCTCTCACTTGGCCTCTATTCCCCCCTGAGGGCTTTCAGGGACGGAGAAGAGGCAAGAACTCAAGGTCATTTTTCCACCTGCCAACATCTCTCTTCCGAGGCTGGCAGGGAGAGGAAGCCACACAAATAGCAGTTTGGATCAAGGTTGGGGATATTTTAAGGGGCCTCTTGGGAGGCCAAACTTTGCATCTAAAAGCAGGTGGGCTGCTTTGCAGGTTAAATGTGTAATGATCTGTCTCTATACAGTTTTTACAGGGTGAACGAAGTGCAGCGATTTGAATATTCTCGGCCAATCCGCAAGGGAGAGAAAAACCCAGACAATGAATTTGCGGTAAAAAACAACCCCAAAAGCCCCCAAGCTGATTCCACCCTCAACAGAACTGCGTGTGGAAGTATGGCCTCGAAGGCCACCCCAGTGCAGCCTGGAGTGTCTGTGCATTAGGAGCAGAGTCCTCATCTATTGCCCCTGCATATGTATTGAAATGATGGACATTTCAGGTGCTGTCACTCAAGTCTCATGATGTTCTAATGAGATGACAAAATTATGTCCCTCCTGGGCTCTCTGGGGTCTTCCTCCAGACCCTGGTCCTGGAGCAGGTGCTAGTACCTATATTACTAACAGGCACACGGAGGTGCCTAGTGCTTAGTGGCTTTTCTGCAGGTGGCACACACTCAGGACATGAGATGGGCCGAGACCCCAAAGGTCACTCACTATCTAGTACCCAACACCTGAGCTTCGCTGAAGCACAACGCACCGAGGAGGGTTTCCCCCGGGGCGCTCCTAAGCAGTGGGCCCGGAAATTCTCTGTGGTGGGGCCATCCTGTGCATCTCAGGGTGTCAGCAGCATGCCTGACCTCTGCCCAGTGGATGCCAGCAGCCACCTCCCCAGTTGTGATGTCAGCGTCGCCAAATGTCTGCCCCCTGTTGAAAAGCACTGCTTTAGAGTCATGGAAATATTCAGTCTTGAAGCCCTTTTTAAAAATGTACATACAACTAGTTTAATGGATTCCATTTGGCAAAGGCATGAAATACTGCAGTTATTTTAAATGTTAACATTTCTCCCTCCTCCTGCCCTGAAAACCTCCTTTGGAAATCCCTAGGTAGCCCATATTTCAAGGAGGAATTAACCCCAAGGAGAACCAGGACTGTAGTCTGGGGCAGTGCAGAAGGTCAAAGGTGAATGAGCACCATGCTTCTAACCCAAAGTGAACCCAGAGCACAGCACTTCGAGCTAAGTTGCCTTCACTCCTGTTCCCCTTGGAAGCCCCATTTCCTACAATCTTCCTGCCTTTGTGGAAATGTCCGCAATCTCCAGACACAGCTCTTGAAGACCCTTGCTGCCCGGAGCCCAGTTTCCTGTGTGTCAACTAGGAGTTTGGGGTCAGGGAATTCTCAAGTTGTCCCCAGTTCCCACACCAGTTATTTCAAACCTAAGACCCTATTTCTGGGCTTGTGTGGGTATCCTGGATCTGTTTGGCAACTGGTCGCTGTGGCGTTGTCTCTGTAGGGAGGAGACCAGCCCCACCTGGATGCCAGCACTAAAGACGTGGCTCTGCGTGCAGCCTGTCTGTCCCCATCGCTGGGCACTAAGGCTGTGCTGCAGGGTCTCCACTGTACCGTTTACAGGCAGCTCCTGAATTTCCCACCTGCCTCTCACATCTGGCAGCTGTATAGACTCTTACGCCAGAAAGAAAGAACGCAAGGAGGTCAAGTGAATTGCCAGTGGCTGTGCAGCCAGCTGGGGCCGAGCTAAGGATAACTGCGGCTCTGGACGTTTGAGCTGCGCTAAGCCTGCGGGGCCGTGCTGCTTCTAAATGGCCCTAAATCCCCTAATGCCCCTGTTAGGTCCTCACACATGGGTGAGGCTTTCAGAAGCCATGGGATTTAGTTCTTCACATGCCTGGCAAAGCCTCAGGCTTCCAGAATAAGCATGAGAGTTCTTGTGGTAATGGGCAGCCAGGCTGGGGCCCTCTGCAGGCGGCCTAATTCTGTGGGCAGGCGGGGCCCTGGGGAAGCTCTCTGCCAGGCCTGAGAGCAGCGGGCAGCACCGGGCCTCCCAACCCTGCCCGGGGTGAAGCTCTGGGGACTGGGGCCACTGAGGAGGAGGACGGTGGGAGGGAGACGGGGCCTGAGCTAACCAGAGCCAGCCCTGACCCTGAGCTAGAAGCCCAAGGCCCCAAGTGCGCTGGAGGGGGAGGAAGCGCCGCAGGTGAGGTCTGCGCTGCGCTGTCAGTTTTCTAGGGCGAGGGCCTGAGGGAGCCGCTGTAGGGGCCAGCAGAGCATTAGGGCCCCACAGGAGGCCTTGGACAGAATCCCCTCACCCCCTCTGGAATCTAAGAGGTTGGGGATGCGCGCTTCCTAAGATCAAGTCCAGTTTTCTGGAATTGTTGATATTCCATTATGCCATCTATTTATATCAGGATCACTGTTGGCTGACGCAAACAGCTCAGTAACTATCCTTTACCGAGAGGTTTGCGACAGTAGAGCATCGCTGCACGGGGGTGCTCCGCAGCAAGGGTGGGGTAGGAGACTGCCTGCTCCCTCCACCACTGGGGTCTGGGCGGCCTTTAGACGCTGTGGAGCTACACTTACAGGCTGGAAACAATTCCCCGCAATGTGTAACATACATACTCTTCTATGAAGGATATGGATTATAAAGTGGCATTTTTAGTGAAAATATACATATACACACTTTTTAATACTTAGTGAGGAATCTTGAACAATAGGTACTAAACTGTTTAAGTAGCCATCTCTCTCGATTTTTGTTCCTTCCATTTACATATCTTTATTTTCAAATGTAAACATATATTAGTCATGTGAGAAAAAAATGTTAAGCTTAAAATACAGGTTTTTTGAGAATGTGAAAAGTCTCCCTTATTAAGCCCGGTTTTCCTTAGTGTGTTTGCCCTTTAAGTTACCTTCGGACCCAGGTGAGGATGACCTAAAACTCAGGCTTTTCCAAAAATCTCTTTGGAGGAAGCCCCTCGGTTTGACATCTAATAATCCTCCCTTACCTTCCCATTGTGTTTTCTTCGCCAAATACCAGGGAGGTGTACATGCTGGCCAGGAAAGCAGGGGACCCTCAAGTGTCATGTGTGGCCCTCTGTAAGCACAGTGTGGCTTGTGTGGTACCATCTCAACGCAGCCTGGCCCACATGGAGCCCAGAGGGTCGTGTGTAATTTCTCCCAGGAAGAGCCCTGCACTACTGGGTGACTTCCCTAGTGAGGGCTTAGAAACCCCCATTAGGGCAGAAGCCATCATCTGCGGACATCCTCCTCTTAACCCTGTGTTTTCCTTTTGCAGAATATGTGGATTGAGAGAACCATATACACAACTGCATATAAATTACCTGGGATTTTAAGGTGGTTTGAAGTCAAGTCTGTTTTCATGGTAAGAGCACCCCCAGAGGCATTGTACCCTTTCCTGTATGATGTGACACGCCCTCTTCACCCACACATGCCACCTGCCCCCGTCCCTCTGTGGCCGGCACACACACTGAAGACCCACATCACACAGACTTGGCCAGTCACCCCGCACGTGCCTCCGAGCGCCTCCTCCCCTCGTCCACAGACTCAGTGTAATCACAGCCAAGTCTAGCTTATGAGGAAACCAGGACTGAGATTCCATTTCCTCCTGCAAAATATTTAAATCAGTCATCGCTGTGCTGTTTTGACAGTTCTTTCTTTAACTAAATGAAAAGTTTAAGACAAGTTCCAATTTACATACACCTTTTAAGATCTTTCTTCCTGATGGTTTTATTTCATTTACATGACAAACAACTTGATTAATAGTACTTGCTCATTTCAAGTAAAAATAGCTGGAGAATATACCCCTCACTGGCACTTTTTAAAGAAGTAATGACTTGCATCTCTTTAGCTAAACTTTGCTTTGCCTCCGTGGTGAGCTCTGGGACAGTTTCCTTTCCATGAGCCGATGGGCAGCAGGTTCCTACCAGACATATAGGAGCATCAAGGTAGTGGCAGCCGCCAAGATCTGAGTGAAATATGCACCTTTCGTTCCTGGGTCATCCCTTTGTTTTCACCAGGCAGGATCCTGCCATCCATTTAGTTTACAGTGAAACTCCAGATCTGGTTCCAGGACACAGTGGGAACTGCTAGGCTGCACACCCTGTTTCCACTCTTGTCCTGTGTCCATCCGGTCTGAGTCCTGAGCCTCTGCCTGAGTGTGCTGTCCTCTGCGCCATGGCCACCCCATCCCAGGCGCCCTCCTTCTGCTCTGACATCCTAGGGCTCTGTGCCTGTTCCCCCTTAGACACTTTTCCTTTCTTCTCTGGGAATTCCCATTCTGTGTCCCTGCAGCACCCAGGCAGGCCCCGACTTATGGAAAGTGCAGGGGATAGGTGTCAAGTGGCAGAAAGGAAAACCTTTGCTGGCGCCACTTAGAGCTGGTGATGTATGTGTGCGAGAGCGGGCAGAGGCAGGGGCCCTTTGCATAGACGGCACTCATCCTCCTAATGAACGCTTCCCATAAGCCCTGTGCAGTCAGGTATTCGGGGAGCCGCCAGGATGCATGAGCAAGGAGCTTAACAGCCCAGGGACGGAGGGGGGCAAGCCCTGACCTTCTGTAGGGATGTGTCTCTGCCCAAGGATGTGTTTGTCATTTTTAACAAGCTCGGGGGGGCTGGACACAGAACGATCCCAGAATGTGTGGCTGAAATCCTGCTATCAGCACCCCTCGCCCCCCTCGCCTACCATGCACCTCCTGGGACAGACCATGGGGGCAGCGGCCAACAATGTTGGTTTGGTAAAAAGAGGAGACTTCATTCTTGAGGCAAATGGGATCAGCAAGGAGGAGTCGGCAGTCAGTTGAAGTGGAATCCTGCCCTGGAATATCCACTTGCTGAACTGATGTGCCTGGGATGGAGTATTCCAGGATCTGCAGCCAGGTACAGGGCGGGACAATAGTCCTAGAATCTGTGCTGTTCCGGGGCACGTGCCACCAGTGGCACCCTCACAGCCAACACCTGGCCGTAGGCTGTGGGCACCCGTTCCCAGGCAGGCCGAGGAGCACGCAGGTCTCCTCCACGGTTACTTGGTGTCACTCCAGGGTTTAGTAGTGAGCAGAGTGGTCCTTTCTCTGACTGTCTCCACTCCCTTCCCTCCCCTCCACCTGGCAGACAACCCCCTACAGGCTGTAGCAGGAAAAAAGCAGGCTGTTTTACTCTGCCATTTGCAAAAGATGCCCTGTTCCTAGGCACGGGTGGATGTCCCACCTCCTTTGGGAGGACCGAAAGTGTCAAGTGCTGAAGTCACCCCTGGACAGGCTCCATGATCCGGCCTGTGAGAGTGAGGCCTGGTGGGAAGGTGCTACTGCTTTAACCCAGCCACGTTCTCATGGCCTTAGGACTGAGCCAGAGAGGAGCCCTGGGTTGGGCCAGGCCTCCAGAGAAAGGAGGGCGTTTGCAGGACAGGCGGAGGTGAGAGACGGTGTGGAAGGGAAGCCAGGAGGACACGTGGTCACCCCCCGGCCCCCCTGCACTGAAGGTCCTGCTGACCCCTGGCAGGTTTGCCTGTGAGGTCCCACTGGAGGTGGTGGTGTGCCCTCCACCCCTGCCCTGGGGCAGTGAGAGCTCTTCCTCCTGGAAGGGTAGGTGGTCGTCTGTGCAGCAAGGCCCCTCCTTCCCTTCCCTGACCAGTCAGGCCCAGGGGGGCCTGCAGAGTGCCCAGGCCTCCTGCCTCAGGGACAGTGGCAGGTTGCTCAAAGTTCTCTACATCCTTCACCCTCTTTAAAACAAGGAGGAAACAGGACTGTGGCTCAAGGCCTCATCTGTGGGGCAGGTTGTGTTCAAGCACCTTGCAGGCTGTGTGTTTCCCTGGGAATTTGCATGTGAGGGCCACATCTGTAGAAACCCATGGTGGTGCCAGCTTGCCCGGCTGCTCTTGGTTGAGCCATAAGAGATTGTGCCTAAAATAAGCACTGGGAAGGAAGGTGCGCAGAGGAAGAGGAGCCGGCCCCACTCGGCCATGCCTCCCCTCTGGCAAGGCCCTGGGAGCCCGGGCCGTTGTCAGAGCTCCCAGCAGTGGGCGCAGCAACCGCCTGACTGCGCCATGTCCCCCGGCAGGTGGAGATCAGCCCCCTGGAGAACGCCATCGAGACCATGCAGCTGACCAACGACAGGATGGCTAGCATGGTGCAGCAGCACCTGGATGACCCCGGCCTGCCCATCAACCCCCTGTCCATGCTCCTGAGCGGTATCGTGGACCCTGCCGTCATGGGCGGCTTCGCAAACTACGAAAAGGCACGTGACACGCCAGCTTTCTCTTTACAGCCCTGTCCTGGGACAGTCTCCAAGCCCAGAACCCACACTGGTCCCACTGAGAACCTGAGCAGTGAGTAAGACCGGGAGCACCCAGAGGGAGTCTCTGCAGGCTGTAGAAGGTCAGGGCCCAGCCTGAGGCACAGCTCCCTGGGCATTGTCCCCCTAGGCTGGGCTAATGGAGCTCTGGAGGACGACCCTTGGGTGGCTTGGAAGAGACCTGGGATCATTAAAGGCCAAAGGAATCAGCATATTTACAATAGGTGGGCAGGGCTGGTATTGTGGAGCCAGCTGGTCTCCCTGGAAAATATTTCGGTAGCAGTGGGCAGGGGTGTGGTCTAGACCAGGGGTCTGCACTGCAGCCTGCTGCCTGCTTTTGTAAGTCAAGTTCAGAGCATGGCCACGGCTGTTTGTTACTTTGTGTCTGTGGCTGTTTTCCTGATTCAATAAAGGCAGAGTTGGGGCCCTGCTGACCCCGGGTCTAGAGGAAGTAGAAGCCGAGGCAGAAGGGGCACAGCTGGGGGGCGGGCTGAGGGCAGAATTGCCCTGGACTGAGCGACGTTCTGCCCCAGGTGTCTTGGGCTTGGGGCAGGCCGTGTGGGGTGCAGGGTGGGGGTCACAGGCCTGTGAGCAGCTGGGGAGCTGTCCCCCAGCAGACAGTGATCCAAGTCAGCCTTGGCTTTGCTGAACGTCAGGGATGGGGGTGCCATCCTGGGTGTCCCTCTTGCCTGCCCATTCACCCCATTTGCTGCGTTTGACCACACCAGACATTTCACCCTGAGTGGCGGGAGGGTCCACCCTGGGGAGTGAGGCCTGTGCTGCAGGGCTGTGGGTCTGTTTGCCCAATGCCTGCTCCTGGGGAAGGCACCTGGTACACATCGTGGGTGTGAATAAAACGTGTGTGTGTGAGCAGGTGTACTGAGTGGCCCTCCCTGTCTCCCCCAGGCCTTCTTTACAGAGCGGTACCTGCAGGAGCACCCTGAGGCCCACGATAAGATTGAGAAGCTCAAGGACCTGATTGCCTGGCAGGTAAACGTCCCGCTGCAGCCTTAAGGGCTTGGGGCTGGGCACACAGGGGTGGGGGGCAGAAAGCCAATTGGGCCAGCTCAGCACCCGCCAGCCAGAGTGCACGCAGCCATGTTTGTGCCTGGGTAAACCCATGCACCACTGCCGTGATTGCTCAGCCCCTAGGCTGCAGTTATGTATCTGAACTCCTAGAAAGTTCTTTCTTCCACATGGTCTGGTGTATTTCTTCCCCTTGGTCAGTTTACCAGCTGCTAGAAAATCTGTGCTGTTGACAGGACAGAACTGAGAACCATGATATCTTAGCTGCGGTCTAGCCTATCCCAGAAAGGTGCTCGGGCGGATGCAGTCTGTGCAGAAAGCATAGCTGGGAAGCTGCCATGCACCCACTTCTCATATTCTCTCTGCCTGTAGTCAAGTTACAGGGAGGTGGGGTTCCCATGTGCATTTTCCCAGCTGTAATTCTGGGTACTTTTATGTTTCTACTCATGCTCATGAGGGTTTCTGAGTGTTTCCTTATAGGGACATGGTCTTAAAAGGGTGGATAGTTCCAGAGGTACCTTGTGTCCAGTTGGAAATCACCAGGCATGTACCTGTGCGTCTTGGAGCCTCTGTGAGCCTGACGTGGAGGGGACGGCCAGGCCTGGTTCTCACAGGAGCTCTGCCTGCCCTGGCCCTTTAGGCAGAGTTTCCTCCTGTCGGAGGCCAGGAGGGTGCTGTCTGGGCCTGGAGCCCACACACCAGGCTGAGTAAAGAGAGCTGAGGGAGGAGGGGGCCAGACCCTCCCTATGCCTGGCTGGCCAGGGTGTCCTGGACCACCTGCTGAGCTGGGGGGTCCCAGGTTGATTTGTGGGGCCCTGACACAGGTCAGGCTGCATCCTCTGAGGAGACATCTCTAGGGGTACTTTGACGCTGGCCTTCCCAGAGCCTCGCCTTAGTGGCTTCTCCATCATCAGCACATTGACCAGTGTGACCTCTTAGGGTGGACTGGGGCTGAGCTTTGGTTTCAAGCCCACTTACCAGTTATATATTTTTTACTGTGACAAAATATACCTAACATGAAATTTAGCATCTTAAACAATTTTGAGTGTACAGTTCACTGGCATTAAGTGCATTCATATTGTCGTGCAGCTGACCCCACCGTCTGCCTCCAGAACTTTTCCATCTAGCAAAAACTGAAATTCTGCACCCGTTAAACAATAACTCTCCATTCTCTCCACCCCTGGAAACCACCCTTCTACTATGAATTTGCCTATTCTAGGGACTACTCTAGGCAAATTCATAGTAGAATTTATCACTTAGTAGAATTTATCACATAGTAGAATGTATGTGATAATTACTTACCACATAAGCAGAATCACATAGCATTTGTCTTTTTGTGACTGGTTTATTCCACTTAGCATAAGGTCTTCAAGGTTCATCCATGTTGTAGCCTGTATCAGACTTCCCTTCCTTTTCAAGGCTGAATAATAGTCCATTGTATGGCTATAATATATTTTATTTTATTATCTCTCAGTGGATACTTAGATTACTTGTACCTTTTGGCTACTGCAAATAATTCAGCTATGAACATGATACCTTTTTGATCCCCTGCTTTCACTTCATTTGAGTTTATCCCCAGAAGTGAGATTCTAGATCTACTTTTAATATTCTGAGAAACTGCCAGACTGTTTTCCACATCAGCTGCACTATTTTACAATCCCACCAGCAATAATGCACAACGATTCCAATTTCTCCTCCTCATCAACACTTACTATTTTCTCATTTTGATTTTTATTTTTTAGAATAGCCATCCAAATGGATGTTGCTTTGCCAAAAATCCATAGGTATTTGACATGTATTTGCCTTGGAATTTTTCTGTGGTAAGGGACCCTGGGAGCTGATCTCCAAGGGGCCTCACTGGCCAAGGATGGCTCTTTGCATGGAATGTAAGACTCATAGACAGGCTGTCTCCCTCTGTTACTAAAAAAGAAGGAGAGAGTTTAAAAGTCTGAATGATTCTATTTTAGATGTTGTAGAAAACCAAAAGAATACAGAAATCAAAACTCCACTGAAGGCTATAAAACCGTTCCTACAGAAAAACTACTTTGGTCTGCAAAAGTTCTATTGATTTTTTTTTTCTGGTAAGCTTTTACGGCAAATTGGATTTTAAGAGTTCCAAGTCCTACAGAAGAAAATAATTTGTTCCCCAGAGAGAACTTTATGTCAGCACTATGTCATCACCCCCAATAACTATATTACAGGATGAATTTTAAAGCAGCTCACAGGAAAGTTGAAAGAACAAATCCATTTTCTAGCCACTTCATTAAATCAAAGAGTGATAGGAAATACATATTCAAAACATTACCTGTGATTTTGCTTTCACTTGCAAATGTTTTGGAAACCCATATTTTAGTATGAGTAATTGAGTCCTACAGTCATTAAAAAAAGGAAGGTTGGGGTTGTCCGAATGCTTTTTCATTTTTGTTAGCTTGGTTTTTCCCAGAAGTTCCATCAGAGCAGAGAGAGGTTTTCTCTTGGGAATTCCAAGGACTCCTTGGCGGACTCCGTCACTGACATACAGGAAGCACATCTCAGTGCCTTAAATCAGCCGTGAAGACTGGCTGTGAAGTCCAGGCGGCTCCTTGCTCTGTCTTCGCCATCCCTGAAACAGGCTGGTGCTGGCCTGCTCCTTCGAGGTGGGACTGGTGCCCAGGGCCGGCTGCATGGGGCCCCTTCTAGGTTGACAGCTGACATCAGGTCATGAGCGAAGGCTGGCCCCTTCCTCAGAGGCACAGCGTGTCTTCCCCCAAATACACTGTCTTGTTGAACATCCCCTGCCAAGTGTCCCAAGATGAATCCATACAGACTCACATTAAACTACTGTGATGTACATATTTTTGTGTTGAAATACACAAGGATGAAAGACCAAACTCATATATCATCCCCCGCTGGTGGCAGGCGCGGTGCTCCCAAATGTTCTGTGTGGCTGAAAGGCCAGGGATTGTGCAGGGGACACACAGGAGCAAACTTCCAATACAGCTCCGCCGTTCCGAAGAGCGTCTTTGGAGAGCAGGCTGCCTCCTAGCTTTAAGCAGCTCAAGGTGTGACTTCAGGGATGTCCTCGCCCTCTTAAGAGTTCTGGGAAACTCTTAAGAAATGAAGATGCCTGAGATCCACTCTAGAGCAAATCAGGGCTCTGGGGGTGGGGCTCAGGAATCTGCCTGAGAGAGTTTGATGCTCAGCTAGGTTGGAACCCATGAAACAAGGGGTCTCCAAAGACCATTTCAGGCCTTGGTCCACGGCTTCTGTTTACATATTAAGCACCGCATATACTGGCATGTTTGCACAGAGCATCTTCTCATGCATAGCTGCAGTTCAGCCCCAGTCAGACACAGAACAGGGTCAGGTCCCATCCTTGAAGAAGGTTATATCTGATCAACGACCAGAACCTGTCAAGGGGATAAATTCTCATACCCCATAAGTCTCACCTGCTAAAGTGCAGTTAGTGCAGCACCAGTGAGCCGACCACATCAGAAGGTCTTGACTGTAGCCCAGCGAGTAACTTCTCTGATGTCAAGAATCTGGCCAATGACGAGTTTTGTCAAACCATGAAAAAAAGCAGAAATGATTAGGCTGCATTTGGCACATTTGAGAAAGGTCCTTTCTACATCAAAGTGCTTTTACCATCTGGAGTGGCTATGCCTTAACTTTGAGGCGGTACCCCCATACCTGCCCTCACACCTGACAGATGCAGCTCATTTATTTACCACCCAGAAAAGTTGTCCCCAGCCTGCCTTTGCCGTCCCCCAAGGCAGAGCTCAGGAAGCAAAACGATCACTGGGCCTTCCTACTGCTGACCCTGAGCACACAGGCTTCAGCCCAGGGAAGCTGCCATCTGCGAGAGTGATTCACGTGGAATGTTAAGGGGTCCCATCTATTTTGAAGTCTCACCTGCACACTGTCCTTTTGGCAAAAGCTGACTGGAAAGGGATACCTGGCATGTACCTGGGGTATGGGCCCAACTGTCAGCCAGACAAACTCTGTGTCGGTAAGCAGAGAGCAGGCTGGGTGGGCTGCAGACATGGGGGCGGGCTCACTTATTCCCGCCCTTCCTGGAGTACCAGGAGAGGCGACAGCGGCGTGCTATAAATGACAGCCAAAATACATTTTATGCATTGATTTGTCTTGATAAGATTTCTTGAATTTGTTCACATGAAATTCAATTGTGTACTTATTACCCCTCTTACTAATAAATCTGCTCATTTAGATTGGTGTTCTGTCATATTAGGAAAATCTGTTTTTAATCAGTATTTTGATTTAACTATAAATTATTAAGAAGAAGCCTCTTAGCTTGATTGCACTGAAGAGTATCTAACTCCTGGTCTGAGCCACGGGGGGGAAGCAAAAGCCAGGGAAAGAAAGCTTTTCCTATACCCGCCCCCCAACACAGTGACTCGGAGGGTCTGTGGGGCCGGGGAATAAAAATGTCTCTCTGAGACACTTTTAAAGGTCAGCTGCATCTCCATGCTCGGGAGTGAAGTGTTGGCGTGGATATTTTGTGACAGCAGTGTTGGCAGAGAAGTGATTATTTTTAGTTTTAAGGAAGAATAAACTTGATTTTCCTTTCCAAATAAGAATATCCTTCATGACTATAGACCACAGATAATTAAATTTTTACATTTTGGAATTGGATTCTCAGTTGTCCATAAAGGCAATAGTCTCAGCCAAAAAATATTTGCACTGTGACACGACCCTTTGCTAATAGATCAAACTACAGCTAAACAAATTCAAAACGCAGCTCGTTCCAGACGCATGTGAGAAGCACAGATAAGCCTCTTCTGGGATTGACTGACAAATGGGAGTCAAGCAGAGCCCTCAAGTGTACGGCACTCTGTGTCCAGTTTAAAACACAAACGATTTTAATTTAAACATTTTAGTCTTTGGGGGTAATATGCCTGCTGATGAATTTGATCAGCTGTTTGATCGGCGAGCAAAGCAGTTGCTTTCTGCACGGTGCCACCCTGGCTCGTGTGTCCTCCTCCCCCTAGACAACACTAACCAGGGAATGTTGACCTGTGTTTTTCAGATTCCGTTTTTGGCCGAAGGGATCAGGATTCATGGAGACAAAGTTACTGAAGCTTTGAGGCCGTTTCATGAGAGAATGGAAGCCTGTTTCAAACAGCTAAGGGAAAAAGTAGAAAAGCAGTATGGTGTGCGAATCATGGTAAGTGGGCAGCTCTGCGCAAGTCGGGGCGGGGGGTGTCTTTGAGTCACATTGACTGTGACAGGCTCACAGGGCAAAGTGACTGGGACATGTACGTGTCTCCTTGGGAAATGGGATTTAAGGGACCTTAACTCCTCATAAATCATCTGCCAGCAAACCAGCAGCCTTTCAATAATTAACAGTGTTGGGGTGCATAAGCATTCATGAATTTGCTTGATCACCAAATACCCTGCTCACCTGGGGTAAACACAGTCTACCATTAGTGTGGTGGGGCAGCTGGAAAATCTGGCAGGGGCCCATGCAACTCGGGCTGGTTCACAGAGACCACCCCTACAGTCATACACACACACATGGGGTCAAGTGACACCCGGGGCAAGAGCACTCATGGCGTCCCAGAGACAGGTGGCGCCCTTGCCCGGTCCGAGGTCCGAGTCATTTAGGGGAGTTGCAACCGATTCCTGAGATCAGAAACTGTTAGCCAAGACTTCTCTGTTGAAGGAAGTGGTCACTGATCCGGCCACCCCACGTACACTGGAGATGGCCTGGGAAGGCCATGGAGAGGACCCTACCTGGAGAAAGAGGTCAGGAGGCAGGAATTTGAATGGCAGGCCAGAGGCGAGGGCAGACATAGCTGTGACCTGGGCAGCGGAGAAACTGTCAGGAGGAGCTGGAGGCATCTGCCCTCTGAAAGCCTGGAATGCCAGTCTGGATACAGGGCAGAAGTGGACTTTTGCCAAGAGCATGATGAAAGCATGGCTTGGGTTTCTTGACGATGCACAATATTGGATGGTTTAGGACTCACGGCAGGCTTCACAGCATCTTCATGAGCCATGTCTTAGCGGCTCCAGGGGCAAGGCCAGGCACGATAAATCAGATTGCCACGGTGGTGTGCGGCTCTACCCCTACGGTCTCTGGGGGCTCTGATGGGGCCTGACCTTGACTGCCCGTGGACCCCGGAGGTGTCAGGCACAGCACATGCGCAAGGCCTCCTCCCCATTGTTCAGGGATCGGCAGCAGAGGGCAAAGGGGACAGCAAGGCCTCTTCTAACCTACGAGGACCGCATTCCTGCTGGCACGGAGGGAGTGTGTGCGCAGTCTTCTGTTATCCTGCGAAAGGAAGGCGAGCTGCCCAAGTTAATCTGCTCCTCATAACACTTGCCTCTACTTGCTAGGGAACCAGGTGGCCAATGCGGTGTGCCATTTTTTGTCTTTTTTTGGCCCAATTCCATCAGTTTATTGTTCTTTGGCAATGCTCTGCTGTTCTGTCTGGTGAACTCACTTCTATTTTTCACACATTTATCTCATTTAGCAAACACTAATTGAGTGCTTACCATGTGCCAGAGACCTTCCCAAGCGTTTTGCAGATATGAACTTGCTTAACCTGTGCAACACTGTGAAGGAGGCACCATGGCCATCCCCACTTTGCAGATGGGGAAATGAGGACACAGGAAGGCCAACTAGTCCAAGGTCATACACTACATACACTAGCAAGTGGCAGAGCCCGAGTCTGAACCGTATCAGTTGACCTCCAGTGTCTGTACTTTTAGCCCCTGCTCTGCAGTTTACACAGTAGAGCTGGCCCTTCTTTTCCCACAGGCTTGGAGACACCTAAGAGGCTGGGATGCGGGGAGGGTCAGTCAGCTGTGATTACAGTCCATCCTCTCCCACCATCCCTACACCTGCCAGCCAAGGCTGGGCCCCAGTGCCTGGGAGCCCAGGGCCTGGTGTTCATCAGATGAGGGTGTGTTTGGCCCTGGGCCCAGCAGGAGGGCATGAACCTGACTGAGCCAAGAATAACATGCTGCTGGGCTGTGGTCTGAAAATGCAGCAGGCGGAAATCCGGGGCTGCCTGTCCCGCCTCCCCAGAAGCTGCTGCAGGTGAGAGGGCTTGGGAATCAGGGTGCTCCCCTGCTGGGCCACGCTGGAGGGCCCTTCTTGCATGGCAGGATCCTTGAGCAATGCTTGATGGCTTTGGAGCTGGCAGCTCATTACAATCAGAGTCGAGTGGCAAGGAGAGTTTCGGAGTGCATCAGAGTGCAGCTCTTCCAAAGTTTGACGCCACTTTTAATTCTTTCTAAGAAATAAACACTTGTGAAATATCCAAGTTTTCTTTCCAAGTGAAAAGCCTCCTCTTCGGTCAATCGCTTAGTGTATTTGAGAAGGACAGAAGCCTGTCTGGCTCAGCAAACTCCCTTCATATTTCTTTCACTGCTGGGATTCATACTTTCTGGGAATGCTTGTGTTGGGCACAGGGAAAAAGGCAAGGCAGGAAGGTGGGGGTGTTGTGAGGGCGTCAGGGATGTCCCCCTCTCAAGGACAGGTTTCCCCTGTTCCGAGCCAGCCATGCTTGGCTGGCAGTTAGCAGTTCCCACTGCATCCTGAGATAGCATCCTGTCCTCCGAACTTCCCACTTTGTCTGCAGGGGCAGCCAGGGCATCCCAGAGCCCAGCAGGGACTGGTCGAGCTTATTGGGAGGGCAGTCCAGGCATAGAATTCAGGGTGCATTTCCCGCCCTGAGATGCTTTTTCTCGTGAAACTGCCTTCCTGCCTCCATCCTGGGACCCCAGAGGCAGGCTCTCTTGAGCAGGCAGAGGGACAGGCGATGCCCCTGTCATTCTCAGAGAAATGTGACAATGAAAAGCATCTGGATGAGTCTTTGTCATCTTCTCTACTTTGGAAACTTGCAAGCATCTCAGAATACTTTAAAAAGCAATATAGTATCGTGGACACTAACAAATGGAAACTCATCCCATGCTCGTGGCTAGGAAGAATTAATACCGTCAAAATGGCCATCCTGCCCAAAGCAATGTACAGATTTGATACAATCCCTATCAAACTACCAGCAACATTCTTCAATGAACTGGAACAAATAATT